AATTAAAACTTTTTATTCAAAACCAAACTATAAAAAACTCATTTATAAAGCGGTGGAATACTAAGTCTCACATGGCCATCTTAGACAAACTTTAACAAGATAGGGTCACGGCCCTTTACAATCGAAGTATAGACAAAAGTCTTAAAACATAAAAAAAACTAGAAACATAAAGTCCTTGTCCTCGATATATGAGGACATACCAAAAGAGGTCTTGAGAGAACTCTAATCCCAAGCTTCACTAGAAAATGCAATCACTTGCCGGAACCTACACTTGTAGTAAAAATAAGAGAAATATGGATTAGCACACAAAAATGTATTAAGTATGATGACCATGCAAAAACATACTTAAAAGAGGACATTTTGTTGAAAGTCATGCTTTATGCCATTTTTGTAAAACTTCATGAAACATTGATACAAGAGGAACAATATAAGTCACAACCAACATACAAAATCACATAATTCACATTTGAGCAAAAGCGCATATAACCCTTTACCTTCACCTTGAGCCTCCACCTTAAGTAACCCTCAAGCTATACCTTGTTAAATGTATGGATAGCGTCCCATACCACCACCCACACTAAGGCACCACCTTAAGGTCACCAAAAGTGAACTTACCATCATCCTTTCCACCTTTACACAATAAAGAATTTAAGAGACATAAACATTACATAAATCACATCATCACATTAAGACCAACATCTAAGACAAATCTAAGTCATACTTGTGCAATGTGCAAGTAGAATCCAATACTACTACTCACACTAAGTACCCCTTTGAAGTCACCCTAGACAAGGCACATTCATATACAATAAGACATGACAAGGAAGTAACTCATAATACAATCCAAGTATAGCATGCATCTTTACATCTAAGCATTTGAGCCAACATTCTTCATTAGGTTCATTTAGGACACATTCATGCATTTAGAGGGCTTTCATACATTTAGTCATTAAGACTTAGAGAACTCACTATAGCCCCTTCAAAGCCTACTCGTGCAATTTATAGATAGCATCTCATACTACTACCTACACTTTGTAGTACCTATCAAGTAACTAGAGTGCACATCTCACATGATGGGAATAATCATTTAACCGACATAGACCATGCAAGCTAGACATGGAATCCGGTGTCCTGCCCCCACACCGAAAAGAGGTGATCTCCTTGCCGAAGAAAGATCGGTTCATCTAGCTTAGGTGGATCCATTAGCTAGGACATATGTGGGCACATAGTTATTGTATATGAAAGATGTTCATTAAGATCCGACCTAACCTTGGCAGAACCTCCATCTAACCAAATCCTCTCGGTGCATAGCCTACATTCCCATAGAGTAGTTTCATTAACATTAGTGTACTAGAGAGGGCCACCATCATTAGGCCTACCGACCTAAAGTACTTTTCCAAAGAAAGGGCCACCACCAATAGGCCTACTGTTTCAAGGTACTTTAAGGATAACTCATTGACTTTCATAGAGAGAGCCACCACCATTAGGTCTACCATCTCTAAGTCCATCATTTCACACAAGAATGAGGCCACCAACATTAGGTCTACTGATCCAAGGTGTTACATTCACATTAGTACATAGACGCCTCATGAAAGGTCACTAATATTAAGTCTACCAATCCAAGGTTTAGCCTAGAATACTTTATTAGACATTTATAAAAGGCTACCAACATTAGGTCTACCAATTCTAAACATTCATTCATTCATTTATGAAAGGATACCAACATTAGGTCTACCAATCCAAGACATTAAGACATTATACATTCATTATATAAGAAAAGGATGCCTAAGCCTACCAATTCAAGATACTTCATTCATAATAACATTCACTAATACAAGAAAAGGATGCATAAGCCTACCAATTCAAGATATACAACATTACCTTATCGAACACTTCACATGCCATTATCAACATTCATGAGTGTTAATAGAGAGATAACATTCAATCCTAACACAATTATCTTCTAAGCGTGATCATCATGCTATCATTGAAATCACATGGAACTCCTTCACATTATACATTCGCATATGCAATATCATTATAATACTTCAATTCCTCAAACTATGCCTTCAAGGCCATGATCACAATGTACATATTAAGTAAACACCTCCACCTTTCAAGTGGATCAACAATTCAAGCACAATTCTACTTTAACATGAAATTAGGTCAAACTTTCCCTTTCAAGGCAATGATCACAATTCCTCAATTCACCAAAAATTCACCATAATTAGGCATAGATGATGATACATTTCAATAATCTAAATTAATCTAAGCATAAATCCACCATCATTCATTCATAATCAACAAACCCACTTCATAAGTCACCATTTATGAATTGAGAGAAATTATGGGTTCATAGAGTAAAATCATCTTAAATCATCAATTAAACATCAATATAATCAAAATTTATCATTTGAAAATGTTTGATGCAAGAACCCATAAGATTGAGTAAAACTTAGGGTTTTTATGAAACTTGAAAACCTTGAAAACTTTTTCGAAATTGACTCTAGGGTGAAAAATAACCCTAGATGAAGGATCATCATACCTTATTAGATGAATCCCCACGAAAATTGAAGAAGAAACACCTTGAAATCCCCAACCCTAGCTTGATCTTGATCTTGATCTCCAATGGAGTTTCGAGAGAGAACTTTTTAGGAGGGAAGGGTTTTGATTTGAGAGATGAAATCTAAATGAGTGTTTTAATGTTTTAATACTTTTAAAATACCTTAAAACACTTAAAATAACCGTCCACATACTAATTGGGAATTATGGTGAATTTACCAACTCACCCCTAAGTTGGTTGTGTCCCTTGGCAGCAAACCAGGCCCCATTGACGGACCTCCATCCACGGACCGTGGATGGGTTGACAGACCGTACTGTTATTTTGTCATTGGTGGTTGTGGCAAGGTTTTTCTTTTCTTTTTTTTTTTTGGGGGGGTGGGGGGGGTTGACCTACGGAGGCCATCCACGGGGCGTGGATGGACCTACGGGTTGTGAACCCTATCCGTAGGTCATGAAACTTTGGCCAACTTTGGTGATTCTTTGGCGTCTTGGGGATTAGACTAAGGGTCCTCCTCAAGGACCCCTAGGGTAGTCCTTGGGGAGTCGTACCTTGACGTTGGACCCCTAAACCCCTCAACCAAATCTCGAGACAACATACAACAACTTGAAAACTCAACCCAAACTCAAACGCATATACGTTAGGCTCTAGTTTCAGTAGTTCGTTTATAGGGTCGTTTCATTATCCCCCACTTAGGAACATTCATCCTCGAATGACACTTAAACACATTAAGGATTAACGACTTAACACTAGCAGCCCACAATCATGCATGAAACATCAATATGAATGCATAAACATAGGAGGAAACATCTACTCCATATCAAAAAGGCTCAATGCAAACAAGCAAGTAGGATATTACATCTACAAACTCATTATGCACCAAAACATCTCATTTCTCATTTCTCATTTCTCATTTCATTGGAGGAACTTCCTTCTCCAAATCACATCATGCTCATTACAACATCATTAGGCACATTATGCAATTTTCTCATAAAAGCACATTATGCAACTCTTTCAAGAACACATTTAAGCATGCTCAACAAGTCAACTCATGAAATATTTAGGCAACTCATCATAGATGCATATCAACATGAGGAACATAATTTGAAAACTCATTTTTCTCATTTAAACAAGGATTCAACTAGAACATGCACAACAATAAGGAGACCATGGAAACTCAATATCACACATGACTCCAAAACATGAAACAAGCTACAAGGAACTCTTGGTCTCAAGCTTGAATAAGAATAGAAGGGAAGAGATAAGGATATCAACACTCTCAACAACCTTTCTATTCAACATACCATCGCCCACTTAGGAGAAAACCCAACTAAGGCTATCATAGAACAACATAAGGATCTCATCACCACAAAAAGGAACTATAACTTACCATTACCTTCATCCGTATTAGCTCCTTTGTCCTTGTTAGCTTGAAGGGCATAGAAACGATTCTTCTTTGGAGCATCAAGATTTGGGCCATTAAGAGAAGCTTTTTTTGCCTCCCTTCCCCAAGTCGTAAGAGTAGGACAATCTTTCACATGGTGATCATTCTTTCCACAACCATAGCACCCACTAGTACCAGCTAGGCATTTCCCATGATGCTTCTTTCCACAATTGTGACAAGTAGATTTAGCAAATTGAGATCCACCACCTCTCTCTTGGTTAGCCTTAGGAGCACTTAAAGAATCTTGGTTTGGAGCTCTCTTCTTGAACCTAGGTTGACCTTGCTCATCGGATCTATCCCTCTTCAAATCCCTATTCACCCTCTTAAGTTTGAAATCCATAATAGATTGAGCATACACAACAAGTCTAGAAATATTCATATCATCATGGAGCATCGTCGTACGGCACTCTTCCTTAACTAGGTCGGATACACTGGTAACAAACATACTCATCTCATCTCTAGGGTTAGACACCAAGGATGGAGCATACTTAGACAATAGGGTAAACTTCAAGGAATACTCCTCCACACTCATAGTACCTTGCCTAAGGTTTATAAACTCCTCAACCTTACACTCCCTCTTCTCACAGGCAATGTACTTACTAAGGAAAGCTCCCTTAAACTCCTCTCATTCTATAGGACCCGCTTCAACCGGTCTATTGGCTTTCCATTGAGTGAACCACACTTGGGCCACATCTTTCAATTGGTAGGAAGCCAACTCCGCTTTCTCCCTAGAAGTTACTCCCATAGAATTTACTATCTTATAAACTTCATCCAAGAATTCTTGGGAATCTTCTCCCACTCTAGAGCCAAGAAAAATAGGAGGATTCATCCTCACAAAGTCTCTCAATCTTGAGGCCACGGTACTCTCATTAGCATTCACCCTAGGCCCCACATCTCTATTCACTTGAGCCGTCATGGCTCGGGCTAGGGTTAGAAAAGCCATCCTAATCTCTTCATTAGTCATGTCTGGGGGGGAACCACCGGAACTTCATTCTCTTAAGGCACTTGGTCACCTTGAGGACCTTGATCACCTTTGGGAGGAACTCCCTCATTAACAATCTCTGTTTCCACTCTCCTTGGGTTAGACCTTGTATTCATTTCCTATAAACACAAGAGAAGGATTAGGAAAAGGACACTTACAGAACTTCACTCTAAGGCACGACTTCAAGAATATGAAATAAGTGTAACTTTCTAACGTCCTATAGCCTCTCGCTCATAGATGTGTCACGACTCACACCGATGAACAAGCTCTACTAGACGTGGCTTGAGAGACATCATCCCTAAAACAATTTCCAAAATCTTATGCTCTGATACCTATTTAGTCACGACCTGAGAGCACCTCCTAGTCTAACACGGCGTACTCAACCTCGAAAGGGTCTAATACAAGCCTCTTAGCTCATTCATTGCATAGACACTAGAAATAGTGTTGAATTAAAACTATTTATTCAAAACCAAACTATCAAAAACTCGTTTATAAAGCAGCGGATTACTAAGTCTCACATGGCCATCTTAGACAAACTTTAACAAGATAGGGTCACGGCTCTTTACAATCGAAATATAGACAAAAGTCTTAAAACATAAAAAAACTAAAAACATAAAGTACTTGTCCTCGACATATGAGGACATAACAAAAGAGGTCTTGAGAGAACGTTAATCCCAAGCTTCACTAGAGAATGCAATCACTTACCGGAACCTACACTTGTAGTAAAAATAAGAGAAATATGGGTTAGCACACAAAAATGTACTAAGTATGATGACCATGCAAAAACATGCTTAAAAAGGGACAGTTTCTTGAAAGTCAAGCTTTATGCCATTTTTATAAAACTTCATGAAACATTGATACAAGAGGAATAATATAAGTCACAACCAACATAGAAATTCACATAATTCACATTTGAGCAAAATCGCATATAATCTTTTACCTTCACCTTGAGCCTCCACCTCAAGTAACTCGCAAGCTATACCTTGTGCAATGTATGGATAGCGTCCCATACCACCACCCACACTAAGGCACCACCTTAAGGTCATCAAAAGTGAACTTACCATTCATCCATTCTACCTTTACACAATAAAGCATTTAAGAGACATAAACATTACATGAATCACATCATCACATTAAGACCAATATCTAAGACAACTCTAAGTCATACTTGTGCAATGTGCAACTAGCATCCCATACTACTACTCACACTAAGTACCCATTTGAAGTCACCCTAGACTAGGCACATTCATATACAATACGACATGACAAGGAAGTAACTCATAATACAATCCAAGTATAGCATACATCTTTACATCTAAGCATTTGAGCCAACATTCTTCATTAGGTTCATTTAGGACACATTCATGCATTTAGAGAGCTTTCATACATTTAGTCATTAAGACTTAGAGAACTCACTATAGCCCCTTCAAAGCCTACTCATGCAATGTATAGATAGCATCCCATACTACTACATACACTTTGTAGTACCTATCAAGTAACTAGAGTGCACATCTCACATGATGGGAATAAGAGTTTAACCTACACACACCATGCAAGCTAGACATGGAATTCGGTGTTCTGCCCCTACAACAAAACGAGATGATCTCCTTGCCGAAGGAAGACCGATTCATCTAGCTTATGTGGATCCATAACCTATGTGGGCACATAGTTATGAGATATGAAAGATGTTCATTGAGATCCGACCAAATGTTGGGAGTACCTCCATCTAACCCCAACATTCCCATAGAGTAGTTTCATTAACATTAGTGTACTAGAGAGGGCCACCAACATTATCCTACCGACCTGAAGTACTTTTCCCAAGAAAGGGCCACCACCAATAGGCCTACCGTTTCAAGGTACTTTAAGGATATCTCATTACTTTCCTAGAGAGAGACACCACCATTAGGTCTACCATGTCTAAGTCCATCATTTCACACAAGAAGAAGGCCGCCACCATTCAGTCTACCACTTCAAGGTTTAACACACACAAGGAAGGGCCACCAACATTAGGTCTACCGATCCAAGGTGTTACATTCACATTAGTACCTAGACTCCTCATGAAAGGCCACTAACATTAATTCTACCAATCCAAGGTTTAGCCTAGAATACTTCATTAAAAATTTATTGAAAGGCTACCAACATTAGGTCTACCAATTCTAAACATTCATTCATTAATTTATGAAAGTCTACCAACATTAGGCCTACCAATCCAAGACATTAAGACATGTTACGTTCATTATATAAGAAAAGGATGCCTAAGCCTACCAATTCAAGATATTTCATTCAAGATCACATTCACCAATACAAGAAAATGATGCACAAGTCTACCAATTCTAGTTATACAGCATTACCTTATAGAACCCTTCACATGCCATCATCAACATTCGTGAGTGTTAATAGAGAGATAACATTCAATCCTAACACAATTAGCTTCTAAACATGATCATCATTCTATCAATGAAATCATATAGAACCTCTTCACATTATACAATCACATATGCAATATCATAATAATACTTCAATTCCTCAAACTATGCCTTCAAGGCCATGATCACAATGTACATCGTACGTAAACACCTCCACCTTTCAAGTGGATCAACAATTCAAGCACAATTCTACTATAACATGAATTTAGGTCAAACTTGCTCTTTCAAGGCTATGATCACAATTCCTCAATTCACCAACAATTCACCATAATTAGGCATAGATGATGATACAATTCAGTAATCTAAATCAATCTAAGCATAAATCCACCATCATTCATTCATAATCAACAAACCCACTTCATAAGTCACCATTTATGAATTGAGAGAAATCATGGGTTTATAGAGTAAAATCATCTTAAATCATCAATTAAACATCAATATAATCATAATTTATCATTTGAAAATGTTTGATGCAAGAACCCTTGAAATTGAGTAAAACTTAGGGTTTTTGTGAAACTTGAAAACCTTGAAAACTTCTATGAAATTGACTCTAGGGTGAAAAATAACCCTAGTTTAAGGATCACCACACCTTATTTGATGAATCCCCACGAAAATTGAAGAAGAAACACCTTGAAATCCCCAACCCTAGCTTGATCTTGACCTTGATCTCCAATGGAGTTTCTAGAGAGAACTTTTTAGGAGGGAAGGGTTTTGATTTAAGAGATGAAATATAAATGAGTGTTTTAATGTTTTAATACACTTAAAATACCTTAAAACACTTAAAATAACCGTCCACATACTAATTGGGAATTATGGTGAATTTATAAACTCACCCCTAAGTTGGTCGTGTCGCTTGGCAGCAAACCAGGTCCCATTGACGGACCTCCATCTATGGACCGTGGATGGGTTGACGGACCGTACTAGTCTTCTGTCATTGGTGGTTGTGGCAAGGTTTTGGGGGGGTTGACCTACGGAGGTCATCCATGGGGAGTGGATGGACCTACGGGTCGTGAACCCTATCCGTAGGTCATGAAACTTTGGCCAACTTTGGTGATTCTTTGGGGTCTTGGGGATTAGACTAAGGGTCCACCTCAAGGACCCCTAGGGTGGTCCTTGGGGAGTCGTACCTTGACGTTGGACCCGTAAACCCGTCAACCAAAGCTCGGGACAATATGAAAACTCAACCCAAACTCAAACACACACACATTAGGCTCTAGTTTCACTAGTTCATTTTTAGGGTCGTTAAAAAATTTTAGGCCAAAATAGGGTCTCAACAATCACAGCCAGTCGTGCTTCAACACCCAACCTCTCTTCAATAGACACTTCTGGTTCTTCCTCAACAATATGATTCACTACCGACACCGACTTAAGATCACTTTCATGCTTCATATATCTGCAGATATTAAAATTTACCTTTTTATTGTTCAATCAAAACTTCATCTGCCCTCTTTCTATATTAGCCAAAGCACACCCTGTAGCAAGGAATGGTCTCCCTAAGATGATGGGGACCTCAAAGTCAACTTCACAATCTAGTATCAAAAAGTCCACCGAAAAGACAAACGTCTCAAATTTCATAAGGACATCTTGAAGCACCACAATCAGTTTCTTCATAGTTTGATCAGACATAAGTAACCGCATTGCAGTCGCTTTGGGGGCTCCTAAGCCCCACTTTTTGTATATAGACAGTGGCATCAGATTAATGCTAGCACCAAAGTCACATAGGACCTTTGTGAAACGCAACATACCAATAGTACATGGAATAGTAAATACTCTAGGATCCTCTTTCTTTTGTACTAATGATCTAGTAGCAAGAAGACTACAATGTTGCAACTTGTCATCATCTTCAAAATTGACAGCCATCTTCTTAGTCACCAAATCCTACATGAATTTCGTATAAGTCGGCATTTATTTAAGTGCCTCAATCAAAGGAACATTTATGGACAACTACTTCAGCTAGCTATAAACCTGCAATACTTTCATTCTTCCGCTTTCTTTACTAACCTTTGTGGGAAGGGAGGTGGAGGTCTCGGTATAGGGATGATGTTTTACATCACCTTAGCCTCCTTCTCATTCTGATCTTTCGGCTCCTCAACTAACTCAACTTCATCCTTATCTTGCTCTTACACACTTTCCACTCTAGTTGACATAGGAGAGTCTACAGTCTGCTTTCCACCCCTAGTAGTAACTTCCATACAATGCCCATCATTCTTTGGATTCTGGATAGTATTGCTAGGAAGTGTCTCTTGCTGACACGGATTTGCACTTGCGGATAACTGGCTCAGTTGTTGCTCAATTTGTTTGACACTGCATGTGACTCAACTTTATTACCAATGCCCGATAAATCATTACGCATTTATTTCACATTGTCATCTATTGAATCAAACATTTTTATCATCTTGTTTATCATATCTTCAATGCGATTCATTCTCGATCCAGCATCTCTGTTCCCAAGTGGAACATAGAGTCCACTCTTGTCATTCATGTTGCCATACCCATTTCGATTATAGTTGTTGTCACTATTAAAGTTCTCATCACGGACATAGTGCCCTTCACGATTATAGTTACCATAGTAGAACCATCACATAAGTAACCCTAAGTTATACTTGTGCAATGCATAGATAAGATCCAATAATCCTATCTACACTAAGTACCACTTTTAGGCCACCATGTTCATGCTTGTCATACTTTGATCTCATCCATAGTTAATACTCATAGAAAAGAAAACATTTATGTTCAATGACTCATATCAAGGAAAGCCACTCTTAGCAACAATCCATATAAAGCATGCATTAACTGATAAATCACCATAGCATAAGAGAAACATACCATGACCTCTCTCAAAGATTACTTGTGCAATGCATGAATGAAGTCTCATACCCCCACTCACACTAAGTAGAACCTCTTGAGGAACCATAGTACTGTAACGACCACGAAAATGATAGAGTGAAACTAGAGTCTCACATGTGAGTTTGTAATCGAGAACTTAATGAAATGATTATTTTTGAATTTGACCCAAAAAGTTCTTAAAAATGTGCTTCGGAAGTTACCGGAAACTTGTTTAGCTGTATATAAAAAGATCTGTTTAGTTTTTCAAAAATCCGACTTCATATTCTTGTTTAGGGGGTCAAATTGAGTGGGAAATGGGTCTAACCCAAATTTTAGAGCAACCGTATCAAAATCCGAAATTTCCAAGTGAAGCCTTTTTCGAGGGTCTACTTTGGAGGGTCATATCTCCTAGCACACAAATTATTTGGGTGGTCAATAATATATCCATGGAAAGCCCTTTGAGTTAGCTACCTAACGCACTTCGTTTCATCTCATTTGGAGTTCGGACGAAGAAGTTATGCCCATTTTCGTAAAATCTGTTCGGCAGGAAAAGGCAATTTCCAGTAGGCGTGGTTACTGTTCACCCGCCTCATTTTTTTCTAAGTGTTGGACCATTCTTCCAAAGGACATATATTATTTCCTAGATACCATTAGTTCAATTCCCATCCCTAAAACATTTCCCTCTCTACAATCCTCCATTAAGAAGAAGAAGAAGTGGGAGCTAGGGCTTTGGATTCAAGGCTTTCTTCATCAAATTTCGTGGGAGATAATAGCAAAGGTATGGTGACCCTTGATCCTTGATTATCTTTCCTTCAAGGAGTCCATTAAAAAGGGTTTCAAAAGTCTTCAAAGAACAAAACTTCTATTTTCCATTCTAGGTATGGGTTCATGGGTAAAATGTTTTCAAAGTCATTATATTGGTGAATTGAAGTTGTATTTATGATTTTAAGATGATTTTATATGAAACTCCTTCAAGAACCCATGTTTTCATTAAAAGCCTCGAATTTGCTTATGAAGTGGGTTTAATGCCTATGATTTAATGTTGATGAAATTGTGTTTAGATCGGATTGTATTGTTGATTTATATGGTTTTGTATATCTATTTATGATGAATTGTTGGTATATGGATGAATTGAGGATTATGGCCTTATGGGCAAATTATGGGTGAATCACCTTGTGGTGATAGAATTGTTGGGAATTGAGTAATGGTTATTATGGCTTTGCAGGATGGTAAGTTGGCTTAATCTCATATTATGGATAAAAAATTGTTCTTGCTTGGTTTGATCCACTTATGGTGGAGGTGTTTAATTATGGAATGTATTGTGACCATGGCCTTAAAGGCATAGTATGAGAAATTGGAGTGTTATCATGACATTATATGAATGAGAATTCAATGAAGATAATGTGATCATGTTATGAACGTAAAGGTGTTGCTATTGAAAGATTATTTCTCAATTTGACACTCATGGATGTTGATGATAGAATATGAAGGATTCTTCAATATAAATTATACCTTGAATTGGTAGGGCTTATGCATCATTTTCTTGTATAAATGATTATATTATTGATTGTTGAATCCTCGGATCGGTAGGCTAGTGGCACCCTTCCACACGAGCTTATAATGAACCTTGGAATCGGTAGGCCTATGGCACCTTTCCATGAAGGTTAATGATGAGACTTGAACCGGTAGGCCCATGGCACCCTTTCAAGAGGAGTTAATGAGCTTTCCTAAATGAACCTTGAAACAGTAGGCTTAAAGCACCCTTTCACGTGTTAACAAATGTAATTTGGAGTTAGTAGGCCAATGGCACCTCTCATATGTGATAATGTCAAGGTAACGAACTATTCTATGGGAATGTTGGCTAAGCACCGAGTGGATTTGGTTAGATGGAAACTCCCCCAATAGTTAGGCATGAGTTTCAACGATCGTCTACCTTATCCCATAAACTATGTTCCCGCATAGGTAGCTAGTGGATCCATTAAGCTATATACCGGTCTTCCTTAGGCAAGTAGACCACCTCTTTACGGTGTGGGGACTTATGACACCGGATTCCATGACAAGCTCTCATGGTCTATGTCGGTTAAACGCTTACTTCCCATCATGCAAGATTTCATTATGGTTTCTTGATAGATTCTACAAAGTGTAGGTAGTAGTATGGGATGCTACCTATACATTGCACGAGTAGGCTTGGAGAGGGTCATAGTGAGTTTCTCTAAATCCTAATGTATGTGATACAATTGTGGCCTAAATGAGGTTATTAAAGAATGTTGGCTCTCAAATGCTTAATATGAGATGCATGCTATACTTGGGTTATATTACGAGTTATTTCCCTTGTCATGTCTTAAGTGATGATATACCTCTTATGTATGAATATTGTGCAAAGGTGAAAGAAAGGAATGATAAGTTACCTTAAGTGACCTTAATGTGGTGCCTTAGTATGGATGGTGGTATGGGACGCCATCCATACATTGCACGAGGTATAGCATAAGGGTTTCTTGAGGTGAAGGTCCAAGGTAAAGGTTTTCATGTTGAAATTGTTTAAAATTAATATTATGACTTTCTTGATGTTTATGCTTGTATTGTATGTCTTTTATGCAACTATTCATGGTACTTCAAAAAGTGGCATAATGCATGGTTTCTAACCAAAATGTCTCTTTTAAAGCATGTCTTGCATGGTCATCATACTTAGTACATTTTGTGTACTAACCCATATTCTTCATATTTTTACTATAAGTGTAGGTTCCGGCAAGTGATCCCTCCTAGCTAGTTTGAAGTGTTGGATTGCTTTCCTCCAAGACTTGGTATGTCCTCATGGATTCGAGGATAAGAATTTTAAGTTATTTTGTTCATGTAATAGACTTAATAGACTTCTTTTGATTGTAAAGGGTCGTGTCCCTACTTATGTTTTGTGACTGTGTCTAAGATGGCCATGTGAGACTTAGACTTCCGCTGTGTGTTTTTAAAGTTGTTTTAATGAAGTTTAAATGTGTGGATGTAAATAAGTTTTTTTTTTTTATTATTCCGCACTATTTTCATTATTGAATGCAATGAATGACTATGTGGCTCGTATAAGACCCCTTCGGGGTCGAATACGCCATGTTACGACTAGGGGGTACTCTCGGGTCGTGACAAACATGGTATCAGAGCATAAGATTTTGGGAATGGTTTTTAGGGTCAAAGTCTCACAAGCCACGTCTAGTAGAGTCTTGTTCATCGGTGTGAGTCGCGACACATCTATGAGCGAGAGGCTATAGGACGGTAGAAGTTACACTTCTTTCATTATCCTTGAAGTCGTGCCTTAGAGTTTGGTTTATAAGTGCCCTTTTTTTTTTTTTAATCCTTCTCTTGTGTTTATAGGATATGAATACAAGAGGGAGACCCGCAAGGAGAGTAGGAGAAGAGGATGTGAATGAGGAAGTTCCTCCCCAAGTTGTGCAAAATGGTCAAGGTGTGCAATGCAATCAAGTTCCTATAGGTGAGCAAGAGAATGAGGTTCCGGTGGTTCCCCCGGATATGACCAATGAAGAGACTAGGTCGGCTTTCTTAATCTTGGCCCGAGCCATGGCGGCTCAAGCGACTAGAGATATGGGGCCTAGGGTGAATGCTAATGAGGGTACTATGGCTTCTAAGTTGAGAGACTTTGTGAGGATGAATCCTCCGGTGTTTATAGGTTCTAAGGTGGGAGAGGATCCCCAAGAATTTTTGGATGAAGTGTATAAGGTAGTGAGTGCTATGGGGGTGACTTCAAAAGAAAAGGCGGAGCTTGCCTCCTATCAATTGAAAGATGTTGCCCAAATTTGGTTCACTCAATGGAAGGCTAATAGGCCGGTGGGAGCGGATCCTATAGAATGGGAGGAGTTTAAGGAAGCTTTCCTTGGTAGGTATTTTCCCCGTGAGAAGAGGGAGTGTAAGGTTGAGGAGTTTATCAACCTTAGACAAGGCAATGCGAGTGTGCAAGAGTACTCCTTGAGATTTACCCAATTGTCTAAGTATGCTCCATCTTTGGTGTCAAACCCTAGGGATGAGATGAGTAG